ATTCATTTAAAAGTAAGGAAAAAGATTTTAAAATTTAAAAAAAAAATTTCATTTTGGTATATTTATGATGGAAATCCTTTGTTGTTGTGTAAGTTAGGGTCGATATTTGATGCTTGTCATTGTAAAATGAAGGGGTTGATCAGTCATGTCTCTTGTTTGCTGGGTAGGTATAAGATTTTATTCCCAAAATATAAATGTCCAGTTGGGATTCCACTGTTTTTTTTTTTTTTTTATTATTATTATTAAAGAAAGATGGGACGACATTCATTATTCCATATCTTGTAATTGTGGGTCAATTTTTTTTTTTTTTATAAATTACGACCTAATTGGTCCAAATAGATCTTTTGAGTGCTAATCAGGGGAGTTTGTTTCGTTTCATCTCTTAATTTTCAGTTCCTCTTCTTCTGGTTTGGCAAAAAAAGTTGTTTATTATTGTACATTATTCATTAACAATAATAAAAACTTATCCAGTATTTGATTAATTCATTTTTTTTCTTAAGAATGAGGATTAAAATCTCATTAATTTCCTTCAAATTGAAATAAAAGAAAATAACATTTCACTTAATAATTGGTGCATTAAAAATAAAATTAGAATCTCTCTTTCAATTAAATAAAAAATACTTTTTTATTTAAAAAAACAAAATGATCCAATCCCAAAGTAGAACTTTGAAATTTTTAACTTCCAATAATTGCGGTCAGGTGTCTCACTAAATATTTTTATCACATGAATTGATCACGTAATCAATTTTTATTACATCCTCTCCCTCAAAAATTGAGAAAGCAGGGGTGAATTTAATAGAAGTAATATTTAAAAGAAAAAAATAATTTATTAATAAGAATTCAAGAAATAATTATATCACTTCACTTAACTATACTGTAGTATTAAATACTTGATGGTATCACCTACCTTAAGAAATGCAGTAAAATCTATTTGTGGTTATGTAAAAAACCTGAAATAAATTCTCACAACCATCAATGATGTGATTAATCATAGTTGTCAGTCACTATTTAGTCAGCCATTTCAAGAAAAAAATATGTTTTTTTTTCTTGGCAAAAAAAAAAAATTTGTTTAGACGCTTAAATTTGTCACTTTAGCTAAACACACACATTAAGATGAGCTCCATAGCCAAAATCATTTGTTCAAATTCCTTATGTCTGGGAAAGTTGTAGCCATGTTTAGTTGACTACAGTCTACAGAACTCGATAACAAGAGAAAAAGGAAAATGCAAAAAAAAAGGGAGGAAATGGAATACATGATTGGGGCTAGAGAGCCTCTGTTATAGGTCTTTCATAAGTTTGTCCATTTGATTCCCACTTGTAAAAGCTTGTTAATTTCTAATGGACTCATGTGACTTACCCTGAAAAAAAACCTTTAACTTTCATTTTCGAAAGGGGAAAAAATATTGATTTTCATATAATAACTTGCAATTTAAACTCTAATCATTATAATTAAAATTTTAATATTTTATAAATTGATGGAACTTGACACTATAACTTCTGCCATAAAAAAAAAATATCCTGATGAGTATACTGCTATACTGCCTGGCGTAAGCCATGAGAGTTCAAATCACCCAAGATGATGTGACCTTACTCCAAATGGATGTTTCCAAATGGATGTTACAACTTCGGCTGAATTCTACTGCCATGTGTTAGACAACGTGAGAAGTTTAGATTGCCCAACTTCTTGTCTTGGTCCCTTTCAACTTCAAAGTTGGAGTCGGATATTGGCTTTATTTCTATTTTGACAAAATGCATTCAAGAATGTACCATTAAGATATCCCATGGCTAGCCCATAGACAAACGATGGTTAGTCTATTGACAAAGTTACTTCCCTAGAACTTCTTGAAAATATATATGGCCCATTTTGTTGATAAATGGGCTCAAAGATCTACGTTCTCATCTGTTGTCACGTAGGAAGTACAAATTAAAAGTAGTAGAAATATGAACAGCCGTATGTTATGTGGGTGGAAGAGAAAATATTATGTGAAAATACTTCAATGTTGGGTTCATCCCACTTTGATCGCCATTAATTCCATGTATCAAAACCAAAACGTTATTCTTGTGATCTCAAAAGCACATGATTGGTGGGAAAGCAAGTACAAGAATTTGCATGATATTTTCTGCACACACACAATAATAACCCTTGACAATGATACTTCCACCCATTATTTTCCTTCCGCCACACTAGGCCTCACTTCATTTGGTTTCATGACAATAATGCCAAACTCTTTATAAACATTACTTCATTTCCGTGGCCTCCTGGCCCAGAACCACCCCTACTCCATCTCTATTTTTCCTCTTAAAGAAGATCGGCAGCTGCAGCTGGTGTTTGTAAGCAGGCTGGGCCGGTGTTCATGCTAGTGATGCAGCTAGAGACTGATTGGGCAGGGAAGATGTGCCACGAAGAACCAGCTAGGGCAATGGAGATAAAAGCGCATAGAAATATATGAATAATGTCGAAGAGAGTAGCTTGGTGGAGAAGTATGACAAGAATGACATAGTGATTAAGGACCCTGCTGGTGTTCAAGGGAGACAATGATTGTTGATGTTACGAATATGTATTTGAAGGAACAAAATGTTAACCCAGATTTGGTGGGACTATTCGAAGGAAACTTATAGGGAAGCTAAGTTGTTCATGGACAAAGAAGGATATAAATGCTGGTTTACACCCAATTACAATAATAAAACTAGCTAGATCACCAAATTTCATCAATTTTATTCACAGGAGTTTGTACTTCCTTTAAAAAGAAAGGAGACATCAATATCTCAAACCCAATTTTGTGTTAATGGTAAGTAGCAATATTTTTATGCATGTAGTTGCCTTCAAATGCGCATTAAATATTCTTGGAATTTCGTTTGAAAATAAAAAATAAAGCAATTGCCAGTATGAAAGGAAGAAATGTTTGAAATAATTTATTTTTATTTTTTCATTAAATGGAATTTCTAAGAGAGGAGAACTACTCATAATCGAATATTCTGAATTATCATGACTATTATTATATATATATATCAAAAATTGTTGTTTATTTAATGTAGCCGACAAGCCTTTTCTGTCAAATATTAACAGTTTGGTTATATAATAATTTGCAATTAATAATCTCTCTTTCATTCTCTTTTTACTCCCCAATATCTCTCCCCCGAAGAAACGAAAGTAATTCATTCTTCAATCGTTTCAGCACCAAAGACTCCAGAACTGAAGCCACCAAGATAGTCAGGTACAATTTTCTGCAGCATAAAGAGCTAGCTCTCTCTTTTCCCTTAAATTTTTACACAGTTAAGCCTTCTTTTTTGCCTCTTGATTTCATCATCCATCCAATATTTTTCCTTATCATGCCAAGCATTGCCATTGACTGCATCATAAAATGAAAACTTTTGCCCTTTAACGTTGATTTCTCTGAAAGGTTTTTGTGTAATATTTCAGGGCGATGAAGAAGATAACAAGGGGATCAAAAGCAGCCATTGCAATGCTCCTTTTTTCCTTATTTTTGCTGTGGTTTCATTCGATAAGCCTGTCGTCAATCTCAAGGATAAACAACATAATAGCAACAACGTCGTCGTCGTGGTCGTCGTCGACCTATCCATTCAAGAATCAAGGTACATTCCCCGTAAATAAAACCTTAACTAAAATCCCTCCCTCGCTACTTCGCTTGGATGGTTTTTGTCTAATTCCACCAACCGCACATGGTTCCACCCTTTGACCACCTCAGCTCTTTGCATTGCTTCAATTCCTGTTGGGATGTTTAGTTGGTTAAACTTCAATAAATTAAAAAAAAAAGAATTATTGTTATTATTATTCAATATAATGTTGGTTACATGATCAACTTTGGTATCTTTAACAGACTATTGTTAGGAGTATTTTATGCTTATACAAAAATATTTTTTTATATGGGAATATAGAGTTGTTAGAATATCAACTTAGCATAATACATATATTATATATGTATTAAGAGAACAATAGTGACTTTCTACCTATGGATTTGACCACATTTTTTGCTATAATTTCAATTTGGAACTTTCAAATTAAAAATCACAATAAAATGATAAAAAAGTTCGAGATATATATATATATATATATATATTGTAACTAGCATTTGTGTCAGATGTCTAATTTAATTAATTATATGTAGTAATTAAACATTGGGATTAAGAGTAAATTTGTTATATTTTAGTTTAATATTGAATTTTGTAATAAATCTACTTTTGTTTGATTGAATTGTGGCGCTAAATTTTGATATTGAATTTTATTATTCAATTTTGATTTTGAATGATTTTAAGATAAAATTTAACCAATCAAACAAAAATAAAATAATAAATTCAATATTGAGATAAAATATAACGGCAAAATTGTATTAATTCCTTAAACATTTGATTTAGGGATGTTAATAAGTAAGATATGGTGGGTAGAGCATTTTTCATCTATATTCTTGAATGTTTATATTATATTTATTTTCACATACATATTCAATGGATATTTCAAATTTATTCGCATCTTTATTTTTACGGACATTTAAAAAACATCAATATTTATTTTTAGCTTTTTTATTTTATCTTGTATATTTAAGTAATTTTTTATAAATATGTATTAATATATATTTTTTAATAAAAATATATTAATTTTAATTAATCTAAAATAATAATTTATATTATTTAATAAAAAATTTATTCTCAAAAAAATATAAATATATGTATAGAAGATAGATATAGAACAAATGCAATATTATTCATCTCATTTTCATACGTTATAAAAATTTAAAATTATATATATTTTTATCTTTATATTTATAATATAATATTTATCTTTATTTTTATTGAAATAAAAAATTAAAATTTTAATTAGATATGAATAAAATTTACATCTTTAATTGAATTTTTGTTAAATTTGAAATGAAATATGAATAGTTGTGAAACTCTTTAATATTTTCTGTGACTGATAAGGGTTCTTTATTGTTCCATAAACATAGAGCATTGAATTTTCTTTTTCCAGCTACTATTTTCTACTTTTCTTTAATTGCAGAATTAACAAGTGTTAAAAAGACAACTATGACAAGTCAGAAGAACAGCCGACCTTTTCAACGTGCCCAACCGCCAACGAGTAGCCAAATCAGCTGCAACCGTACCTATCTGCGCTATGACCTGTGCTCAATCGACGGCCCAACTGTCTTGGACCCCACCACCTATACATTCTTCACCGTGGGCCCCACCAGCCCCACCGTGCAAGTGGAGAAAATCAAGCCCTACCCGAGAAAATACGAAGATTACATCATGGCCCAAATCAAAGAGCTCTCAATCACCTCAGGCCCACCTAGCCCATCATGCACTATTCAACACGATGCCCCAGCCCTAGTATTCAGTGCGGGAGGGTACAGCGGAAATTTGTTCCATGCTTTCAATGATGGGTTCATCCCTCTCTTCATCACCGCTAGTTCTATCTACCCTGACCGTGATTTTATCATGGTGGTCTCGGAGGCCCATGATTGGTGGCTTGGTAAGTATGCAGATTTACTAAAAGTTTTTAGCAAACATCCGATTGTTACCCTTGAAAAGGATAACGCCACTCATTGTTTTCCTTCAGCCACTTTAGGCCTCATATCACATGGTTTCATGACTATAAACCAAACATTAATCCCAACCTCAAAAACGTTCATGCATTTCCGGGGTCTCCTAGACAAAGCCTATTGCCGTAACCCTATTTCCTCTCCTCCCCACCGTCCCAAGTCCGAGCCCCGACCACGTTTAATTTTAACATGTCGCGGCAAAAATGTTGTACGAAGGATAATAAATCAAGATGAAATAATTCAAATAATGAAAGAAGTGGGATTTGATGTTATAGTATTCGAACCAACCAGTCACACACCTCTTCACGAGGCGTACGCAATGTTGAATTCAAGCCATGCCATGGTTGGGGTGCATGGTGCGGCACTTACACATGCATTGTTCCTTCGGCCAGGGTCGGTGTTCATGCAAGTGGTTCCAATCGGGCTAGATTGGGCAGCGGATGCGTTTTTTGCTAGGGTGGCTAAAGGGTTAAATTTGGAATACATTGACTATAAGATTGGGGTTGAAGAAAGTAGCTTAGTGGAAAAGTATGGGAAAGATAATATGCTGTTAAAGGATCCCTATGCTCTTCGAAAGAAAGGGTGGCCAACAGAGATTATGGACATTTATTTGAAGGAACAAAATGTCAAGCTTGATTTGGTAAGGTTTAGGAAAAGTTTGGAGGATGCTTATTTGATGGCAAAGAAGTTTATGCATAGGGAAGGATAATATTTTTTTTTATTTGCAGTCAAACATTAATTATTTTGATTTGATAATAAAATGATAAATATATATATATATATTCATTATTTAAAAAATTAGATTTGAAATATTTTTTATCATAAAAAAATATGAAAAATATTTAAACATTACGGAAGCATTTCAATTACATTTTTTTTTTTATTTTAGTGTTATAATTGTTCAATTATAATAAAAATTTATGTAAGATTTTATTAATTATAAGAGTGGATTTCTTATAAATAAATTTTACATAATTCTAAAATATGATTGATTAATTATATTATAATTATTATAAATGATATAATCCCAAAATTACTTACCAAAATTATAGTAAGAACTATTAAGCTGTAATTTTGGTAATGTTGCGTCGTCTGTTTCATTCTTATCCCTACAGCATACAAGTTGGTTGTTATTATAGTAAGAACTAGTTAGGTGTAATTTTGGTAAAGTTGCGTCATCTGTTTCATTCTTATCCCTTAATCGGTGGTTTTATTTTGAATTTGATTCAAGAACAATAAAAAAGGTCAAAAAAGAAAAGCATTCCATGAGAAAATAATAATGAAATAATTTATATAATATTCTAGTATTTTTATTATTTTAAATCAATAAAAAAAATTTTACATCAATAAAGTATAAAATTGAAAACATATTAATTTTAATAATTATAATATAATTAATCAATCACAATTTAAAATAATTTAAAATTATGTAAAAATCATAAAAATTTTATATAAAACTCTCATTTATAAGTATTGAAACTTTATATAATTTTTTATTATGTTTGAATAATTGTAGTATTGTAAGAAAAAATTGTATAATAAATTTGAATTTTTTCTTAATTAATACTAAATCAAGAGAATTTAGTGGTAAATTTGGTAATTATTGTAAAATTACACAAAAAAATTGCGTACCTGAAATAATATAAAAAGGCTGTTGGTACGTACCGGAACATGAAACAGGACCTAGAGAACTCTCGTTACAAACGAAGTTAAAGAGATTGTCAGGGTTTTCGTTTCGTGTGTATCTTTTCTCTGTAGGGTTGTCTGGAAAAAACATCAATGGAGATCAAGCTACTTGAACAACCATTTTCTTCCATTCTGAATCAAAATGCTGCAAAATCTTCAATACCCATATCTTGTTTCACACCCAAAGCAACTTTCAAAGTTATGTGTTCGAGTTTTGGTGCGAATGTGTATCGCTCTCTTGGAGTTTCCTCTTCTTCGTCGAACATAAGGTATTAAGAAATGATAATTTTATTTTTAAAAAATTGCTATTAAGAAATGATAATTTTATTTTTAAAAAATTGAGTAATTATTTTCCCTTCATGTGTTATGGTTTCGTTCAATTGTCATTGAATTTGTTGAATAATTCTAGCTAATAAAAATGTGGTTGTTGGGGGTTGATTCTATTGAAGGCAATGGTGATCAAAAGATTTTTCCATCTTTTCCCCTTTTTATATCCTCCCTACTAAGCAGACTGCCCTTTCTCTGTTGAAGCTTTGTTTTTGAAGTTTGACTAGGAAAATCCACTCAAGTAGATAAATATCTGTTCTCCTCATTTGGTGTAACTTGGCAGTTTCAGTTGGAATCTGGAACCCTTTCAAAATGCATTTGACTTTGGCTAGTGTGTTTGGTTATACTTTCCAAAGAGAAATTTCTATGGCAACACTATGGTCTCCATTGCTAGGCTGTGTAGGAAGCGATTCACTAATTATCATATGCCAAGCAAGGGGGAGCTTTGTGCTTGTTCACTCGTTTTTTGTATTCTATGTTTGATGGACTTACTTCTGACAGTTGCTTGCATTCTTTTCATACAGGTTTTCAAAGAAGCAAAGGGTGGATGAGAGTGAGAGCCTGACCCTCAACGGTATAAGACACTCCTTAATTCGACAAGAAGATAGCATAATATTTAGCCTTTTAGAGAGAGCTCAGTATCGTTACAATCCTGACACATATAATGAAGGTGCATTCTCCATGGATGGATTTCATGGGTCTTTGGTTGAGTTCATGGTCTGGAAAACTGAAAGGCTCCATGCTCAGGTTGTGTTATTTCTATTAGAAAATGTTAGGTAAACAGATTACATCATGTGAGGAACATTCTTATGATTTTTCTATGCAAATAGGTTGGCAGATATAAAAGTCCAGATGAGCACCCCTTCTTCCCAGCATATCTGCCAGAACCAATGCTTCCACCTCTGCAATATCCAAAGGTCAGAATTTTAGCTGTTAACATATAAATAATTGGAAGTGACTCATGATTTCATCTTCAGCAATGATCCTACTTTATAATATTCAGGCTTCATAATCTTGTTTATAGGATGTTATCATAGTTTTTTATTGGCTATTTGCTGACAACTCCACTTGGTTCAAAATGAGGTAAGGATGTAAGCTGAGTGCATGCTCATCATATGTAAAACAATAAATAAATTCCAAAGTTTGATATTCCTTGATAGCCAAGCATATGACCGAAATGCTTAGTTCAATAGGTTCAGGCTGAAACTAATATTTTATCCTAGTACTTCTCATCACTTGTGAGCCTAGTAAGTTTTGTAAGTGGTTAAATAACCGGCTCTGCACTTACAATGTGCTATAATTGATTTTTAACATGACAGGGGTGCTGGAATTCAAACATTGGTTCTTGAGAAGCAAACGTTTCATAAGAGTTAGTGTAATAATTTTGTAAACTACAACCCACAACACACTATGGTGCATCAAACATTTTGATGTCCATCAAAATCTTCAAAACATGTTTCCCATAAGCGTGCTAATTTTATTGGAAATTCAGCTTAGCATATGCTGTTAACTGTGCATCATAGTTTTGAACCTGAAGAAGAGAAGTAATTTTTTTTCAGTTCAATATTTCATGTTCTAATGCCAGCATATTGTGCCTCACTAAATCCTTGACTGATATTATCACTTTGATCAGAAATTACAATATTTCCGTCCATAACTCTTGCCTAAGACTGAATTACACTGTTATCTTAACCAAAACTAGCACATACCTTTAAAAATATCGATTGATTCAAAATAATGAGCTGCCATTGTATATCAAAAATCTTGATACCTTTTTTACTGTTAAGGCTGTGTTACAGGACATATCTATTAACCATTGGTCATTTCTTCTGATTGCTACTAGGTTTTACATCACTGTGCTGCTTCAATTAACATAAACATTAAGGTTTGGAATATGTATTTTGGAGAGCTTCTACCAAGATTGGTGGAAGCTGGAGATGATGGTAATTGTGGGTCTACTGCTGTTTGTGATACAATGTGCTTGCAGGTATGCCTTTAAGCTGGTCTTTTCATCATTTCTTTGCAGCTCTTACCTAAATTTAAATCGAGAATCATAGACAACTTTCTGATGGTAGAGAAGATGGGAAAATTTTTTTTCACCTCCTTTGTCTTTCCTCTTAGGGAGAGTGGTAAAATTTAGAATTTCCCTTAGCTTTCATCGTAAGTCTCCTTTATTCCTATTATAAATTCCAGTCTTTTATTTCTTAGTTTTTGTGACAATGTTACTTAAATAAACATAGTAGTCTGTCGCTGATTATTCAATTGCATAAGCCTACATGGTTGCTTCATCTATCGCCCTCCATTGGAATATCAATCCCCACATGTAAAAATCATCTACGAATTGTCTCCCTACATGACTTATTTTCTGCTAGAAATTGGAAAAATATCAATGTGATGCTGGGCCTTTATATACAAATCTAATCTAAATATGCTTGTATGATTACATAAAATGCATTTCTGTTAGTTTATTAAGAGATGTTTAATACTGTCTCTTTTTATTTTTGTGTTAAACGAATTTTGTCTTTGGAAGGAAAAAAAAGTTTGGACCAGGCAGTCTAAACTGCATGGCTGCCCCTGTGGCCCTGACTGCTCTGCTGCCATCCCTTTGCTTGTCGACATCATTTTCTACATGAAGGGTTCCTTCTTGAAAACCTTGGTTATTTTTTGACTTTTTAACTTGTTTCACAGGCACTTTCAAAAAGAATTCACTATGGTAAATTTGTAGCAGAAGCAAAATTTCGAGAATCCCCTGCAGCTTATGAGGATGCCATAAGAGCAAAAGTAAACTTTGTTTCACATTTCTCCCATTTCATCCTTTTTGTTTGGGCTACTTATATTTGCAATTAACAAATTTCCTTCCTTTCCTCGTGCCTTCGGAATGTGCATCTAACAGGATAGGTCTCGATTGATGGAGCTCCTGACATATGAAACAGTGGAAACAGCAGTGAAAAAGAGAGTGGAAATGAAAGCGAAAACATATGGTCAAGAGCTAAACATTGACCAGACTAATGTTACAGCAGATCCAGATCCTGTATACAAAATCAAGCCAAGTTTAGTCGCCAATCTCTATGGGGATTGGATCATGCCTTTAACAAAGGAAGTTCAGGTTGAATACTTGTTAAGAAGGTTGGACTGAAGTGAAGATCACCATTTACTTTTAGCTTCCCTCTCCACAGACCAAGGAAGGAGAAACCACAGCGTTCATGAACTTTTATCTTTTATCAGGTTAATTAAAGAGTTTCACTTTTCTAATTTATAGCATAGCTTTCTGGAAATGCCCGGTAGTAATCTTCTTCATCGAGAAGGAAAAGGGTTCAAATCCGAGAACTCTTCCCTCCCTTGGGAATCTCAAGCATCAAAGCAAGCTTCAAGCTTGCAGTTTGGATCCACATTCAGTTTAGCAAGGGCAGCTTCTCCTTTTGTAGATTCTCATTTTTATTTAGATTTACAGTATGAAAAGTTTCTTCCAAAATAATGGATGTCATTGTCAACTTTTGAGCTGGAAAATGAACGAAACTTGATCCCACCATGTGAGATTGCTATCATCTTTTCATCATATCATCATCATATTATAATATTAGAGCATAATTATTTAGCATTTTGCACATAAAAACATTAAAATTAGAAGACTTTTATCAATCTTCTATCAATTACCTTATCATCTTTGTTCCTTTTCTTGACAGTGCAGCCTCAAATTCGTCAAATAAATTCATTTAATGAAAGTCACTGAATGAAATTAAAATTTTTATTTATAAGATAAATATATTTTATTAATATTTATAATAAAAATATTTAAAATGTTAATTTTAAAATATAATGGACAAATGTAAAATTAGAATTCAGACATAAAGCAATTAGAATTCAATGTAAACTTTATTTATCAAATAATTATATTTAATGGAAATCTTTGAATGAAGTAAGAATTTTTATTTACATAGTAAATAAACTTTATTAATTTTTATAACAAAAAATATTTAAAATAATAATTTTGAAACAAAATAAATAAATTATCCGCTTTTGTTAATAAAACATTTTATATATTATAACTAAATAATTTTTTAAAAAAATTTTATGGATAAAAAAAGGAAAATTTTAAAATTTGGATCGGTGCAAATAGCAGAAAATCTGGAAAAAAGACAAAATATGAGGCGCTCTCACCGTCATGTTAAAATTACAGAAACACCCTTCACAGATGTTAAATTCTCGAGAATCTTAACTCCCAGGACAGCCGCTTTTTTACTTTCTTCTTCACTGTACAGCTTTTGGGATATGTTCTTTGGCTTTTTTTTTCCTAACTCTTTAACTCACTCAACAAAAGAGAGGGAAAGCTTTAATCGATAGTGAGAGAGAAGAGAGAAGGGAGGAAATGGAGAAAGCATTAACAAAAGTTGGGAGCTTGAAAGTTGGTGGGCTATGGATCTCAAAGAAAGCTAAGGAAGAGTTCTCTAACATTACTGAAGACCTCACTGTAAGTAAAGTTTTTGTTTTTGTCTTTGTGTTAGTGTTTTGGTTCATGAATTTGTGCATTGTGGGTTGAAAAATCATACCTTTTGATAGTTTTGTGTCTGTGGTTTAGAATTGCTAGTGAAATGTAAGATCTGTGGAGTGATTTGAGAGATGGCATTATAAAATAACTGAAAACTGATTTGAAAAAATGGATTGCTGGGACGACAATGTGAAGCTAGAGACCTAAATGTTTGATCATTGTTATAGTTAGGTTGGCAATTTTTTGTGTTAAACTTTGTGTTGGAGTTCATTTAAGATGATAGGGATTGCATTTTGTCTTGTAAGTGATTTGATTTTGCATAATTTCTTATAGTTTTGAGGCGGTGGGGCTATTGGTCTTGGTGTGGAATTCCCCTAATATCAAATTTTCTATAAGTTTGTCTCTTACATGTGGAATCATTTCAAACTGGCTCCAGACTTTTAGGATGAGGGTGGGTTCATTAATGAATGTTGTTTAACATCAAGTACCAGAAGAGCTTCTGATGTTAAAATTAGTGTATCTTATGAGTCCATAGTTGGGAAAAGGCATTGCTGATTTGATTTTGGAAGATTCATAAAATTTTTATGCAACATATGTTGATCAGATGAATGAATTGAACAATTCTGAGTTTGAAGGGACTTTCTTTAAAATCATTTTTGATCAGTTTATCTTATCCTCCTCATGTGTTAAGAAAAGAAGATTACTACTAACATCAACGTTGAAGCATACTTGCCAATGCCATTATGTATATATAAAGTTGATTCTTCTTTACCTTTCTGTTTCTGTGAAATGTTGCTTACTGCAGACTTTCTCAAATACTGTTGAAGAGAAGGCAAAATGGATTTTCAACAAATTGAAAGGTACAGAGCTATATATGCGTACCCCTGTTTGCTTGTATTAGTTAGTGTGAGTCCGTGATGTAGCATAGACAGGGTTGCAAGTCATCATGTATTTGTCGGCTAGGATTTAGGAAAAGTGGCAGTGCCTAATTTATTTGTACTCTTGAAATGCTTGGCACATCCTTATTGGTGGGCCTACCGTCCTCCATAAAAGAGCCAAAGCTCAAGCCCTTCTCTCCCATTCAACTATTAAAAGGGAACCAGAATCAGGCTTTGCCATCAACTATTACTATATCTTGAAATTTTCATTTCCTACCTCTTGCATGAACATTGATACTTGTTAATGATGGTAAATATCATCAATCTCTGCACGAGGGATATGAGCTTGAAATCTAGTGTGACAGTCAACTGTCAAATAGTTGCATCATAATTGAACACGCCGTTTGAATGTAGGAATGTATCTTCATTCATGTGATGTTCAATCTGTGGTTAAAATCCTCCTTTGACATGCCTCAACTTCTTGTTTTTCCAAATTAAAAGTAATTCTTTGTTTGGTATTTCTTTCCACGGTGTGTTATTGATTGAATCTTTTTGAGAATAATGTTATGCATGACTTGGTAGTGCATGCTTTCTTGAATACAATGACAATGCAATGAAGTAACTTCTCATGGATTTCTTCATCAAATGATTCTTTTACTGATCCCTGGCAAATTTTTTTTTTTCAGAAGAATCGAGTGTTTGATTGTATAAGTTCTTACCTAAACGTTTATGTTCCTCCTATAGGAAAGCCATTGAAAAACTTGCCTGATCTCCTCCGAGAGTACAATTTACCACCAGGCCTCTTTCCTCAGAATGTTGTCTGTTATGAATTTGATGAAACAAAGGCCAAGCTAATTGTTTACTTGTCGTCTCCATGTGAGGTCAGCTTCAAGGATTCCTCTGTTATAAGGTATGCAACCCGTGTGAAAGCAATTCTCCTCAGGGGAAAGCTCACAGGCATCGAGGGGATGAAGACAAAGGTCCTAGTTTGGGTTAAAGTCACAAGTGTGGCAGTTGAAGGCTACAAGTCCGACAAGCTGTGGTTTACTGCCGGAGTTAAGAAGTCAAGGCCTAAGGATGCTTATGAAACACCCCGGGATGCTGTCAGAGTTGAAGAATTTTGAATACAGAATATTCATCACTTTGTACTCAGCCCTAATCTATCCCCAGTGCTTGAAGTCTAGTGCTTAAAAACACCAGTAATCATTCATCCTTTAGTTTCATATCACACCATGTAGGCAAAGTACATGAGCATGTCCACATTGCCAGTAAACACTGCTATGGTTTTATTCAAAAGCTATAAGCTTCCAGTTTCTGATACATTTTAGACAGAAAAAAATTCAGATTTTCTGATGCATAAAAAATGTTACTATCTGAATATAAACCAGAAACTATCTTGGCTGCCTGCTGACAGATAAATTATTACAAATAATTAATGTGTCAAAAATTGGCGAAAGAATACATGTTGCCTTGATCTTTCTTTTCTGGTTATAAACCCCATGATGTTTGCTTATGGAACCAACTTGCCCATCCTAGCCTCCTCAACAGCTCGCCGAATCACAGAGAAACTCCAGTTGATTCACGGACAATCTCATATATTGCTATTACGTTCTCAAAAGTTAACAAGAAAATGACACACCATTCCAAGAGATCTGACCGTCTATTTTGGATAACTTCTTGAAGGAAATGAATGTTATGCTGCAATGAACATGATAGAAGTTAAAATTAGACTCCTAAAGTAAGCTTGTTGCATATAAAGAAGAAAATGCACAATCATTTTACCATACAAGACCATCACTGTTATGCAATAAATGCTAAATCAAAGTGGCAATGAGCAATACATGATTACTAGGTTATTTGTATGTGGAGTTTAACTCTAATCAAACAAGGAATTACCATCGCAATAAAAGCTTTGAGATGACATAAAACTCTAACATTAAGTTTGACTGTGAAGAAACTAGAGATTGCTTCATGTATAGATAATTTATTGGTGCACATGGAGCTGCACCTTCGTGCTTTTCAGCCTGTTGAATAAATTATAATTCAACACCCAAACTCCTAATAAATTTCTGTTTATCCAACTTCAAATTTAAAGAAATTCAGTTGCCCTCTTAGTCATGCATTTTGTTCCTGAAGTAACAGTCCAGTTTATGTCCCTTTTCTCTTGTATGCCCATATGCCATCATTTTTTAGTATGAAAATAATTGCTTTGAAATTAGAAAAAAACCAAATTACTATGAGTGTAAATGAAGCACAAGGGTACCTCCACAAATTTTAGCTTGAAATCCAGATTCCCAAAGCGTTGTGTCACCTCATACTCCTCCCGAAGGTACTCATATATTTGAGCATATTTTGCTTCTCTCCAAGCAATTTCCGATCTGGATAATGAAATAAAAAAAATTAACAAATATCAGGTGCTGCTAGACATTTGCTTATAATTCTAACTCGTGCATCTAATGATGAGTTATCAAATGCGTTCATTACTTAGAAATTAACAAGAAATGGAAGTTGCCTGTTCTATTTTTGACTTACTGGAGACAAGAAAACTTTGAATGATGTTAGATTCAAGAAGTGACATTTGGCAAAGACAAACATTTTCAAGCTTGCGGAGCCAACCTAAGCCATGAGGCAAGCTTATACAAGTGGGCAAAACCACAGATGTAACTTCAGAATAAAGCCTTGAGCTTTTTAATTATACTTTTTCAAATAGGAGCTCTTGCAAACCCAAAATTCCAGGCCTATTTGGTGCCATTTGAAACAATACTACTAAATGGTTTTATTCATATATGGCCCACCAAAATGAGTTTCCAGAAGACATACCTACAGAAGATCTTATTTTGTACCAGATTTGCACAAAGTGCTACTTTTATTGTTTGAACCAGCACCGCTTTTGTAGTCATCAGCCAAAAACATTTTATAATTACTCCAGACAATTGATCCCATATGCATACTATTGCGAGTTTAACAAGCAAAGAATCTTGCAATCACACATTACGCATGTACATCCACCAATATTCAGATGTAGAAATGGTAATGAGAGTCTATTAAAAAAAAAGAAATAGTATAGAGAGAACTCAAAAAGATAATAAACAACATTAGTCCAAAACAATAAAAAGTCAATGCATTGAAGAGACAGAGATAACAGACACCTTGTTGAAGTCACGCAATAAAGGTTTGATAAGCAATCTTTTTACAAATAAGCAGATTTAATCAAGATTCGAGATGCTTCATACAGTTGAATATGTCAAGGATAACCACCCTCAACATTTCCTCTGTGCTCCCCACCACCTTTCCCACAGGGGGACAGAAAGAAAGGGGAAAGAGAGGGAAGAAAATTGGGGAAAATAGTCACATCAATATAGATGCCTAATAATACAATCAACCTAGTACCAACATTTCTCACATCAACCTTTAAATGACAGCCAAGCAAATACAGAGAGCAACGATTCATCAAAAGCACAAAATAAAATACCAAAGAAAAGAGAGACAGAGAGCAAATGCCACACTTTTGGAATTTATAACATGGAAAATATGTTTGCCACAATCTAAAGCATCATGCGAAACAAGTACCGGAGACATTACCTCTCAAAAAGACCAACTTTAAGAATTACATCAGCCAAATTTGAATTAGCTTTTCCAACAAGTTTAATGAGCTTTGTCCTATCCATTGTGAAAGTTCCCGTCTTTTCCATTGCACGATTTATACCAGCAAACTCTTCAACCATACCATCAACCTGAGAGAGAGAGATAGAGACCATACTTAGTCCCCACCAGAAATACCTTGCAGGCTTTCAAGCCAGGAATCTTTTAGAATGAGCAGCATGGTAGTCAAAATTTAAATGAACACCTTTCCTAGTAAATTGCTAAATGTTCGCACTACAAATGCTTCGCACAAATTAACTGAAGTACCTGTGAAACAAAATAATCCAGTGCAATGCTTTGACCAAGAACACTTCCAATAATGCGGACACTATCAGTGTCCAGAGTTTTAAGAACAATGTAATCTGGTCCTCCTTGCATATCCTTAGCCAACAATGGCTGCTCTTTTACAGCATAATCTAATCCAAAAAATTAAATAAATTTCAGAAAACTAGAATGTTATGAGCATGTAAACCACAGGATAATTTAAATCCGTATCCATTGTTATGAGAAACATTATAAACGGTAATGGAATAAATAGGACAACCCCCTTCTATATAAACATACTTTTTACTCAAAAACTTCATATTGTTTGGAAGATATAATTTAACATGCAGCAGTAACAACCTAAAGCAGATAGTTTAGAGTGTCATTTGGGCAGTTTGAACCAAAGTATTAATGAATGTGTGGTCGACAGTTTTGTCCACTCTCTCTTTGGATAATACTAACCTTCTCTTAATGGCAAGAGTCAACATAGCTAATGATATATATATATATATATATATATATATATATATATATAAAGAGAAAGGCACTTTCAGGCACACAAAAATATCAGAACTGACATAATATAGGATACTAAATGCACTGCTCCCGACCCCCCCCCCCCCCCAAAAAAAAAAAGAAAGAAAAAAAATATTAAAGGAATTACCATCTTTCCTCATTTCTGGCAGCAATCCAGAAGCATGTCTCCGAACTATTTCAAGGTAGCTCTCAACTTCATGGTCCTCAATGTTAAACAAGACAGCAGACCCATACTGAAAAACAACCATGTAACGATAGCCACAGACTTTGTTTTTCATTCCAAGTGCCTAGAGCCAAAGAGGTGTTGGAGAAAAGAAGTTATTCAATCAAACAATACCAGAAGCTATTTGCAGACTTGGCAGATTTCTCACAAAAAAAAAAAAAAAAAAGCCTTCAACCCAACATGTTACTCAACTAATAACATTCTTAACAAACAGCACCACATACGCAACTCAGTTCATATACTAGTGATAGATAAGATGCATTGGACACTAATGATAAAGGTAGCCCTAAAGAATGAACTGAGAATGCTAAGAAAACAAGCATAATCAAACTTAAATTTCAACATGGCAAAGAATACTCTGATAAGCATATCCAATGAGAAAGGTACTTCTATATCATAGGTCCGCTTTAATCCTGATTATTGGTAGGAGCTATTATGTCTAACAATGAAGTTTTTTCTCAATAATCAAGAAAATAACACCAAGCAAAAAAATCTCCTTTAAACAGTAAATTCCTAAACAGTATGAATACAACTACATACGAATATGTTTAAGTGAAGTTGAAGGAAAAAAATGCATTTGTTAAATATCTTACAGCAATATCAGGAGGGAAATCACAATATCTGAGGGCAATATAATTTGATGAACGAGAAGAAGGAGGTACAATGTTGCTTAAATTCCCAGCTTGCAAACTCTTCAAATCGATACTGCCAAAACCATAAGTCCGATAAAAGGCCAACCCACCAACAACAAAAAAGAACTATAACAAAATATAACAAGAGCGAAGGCATTAAGTCAAACAAACTACAAAAAAATAAAATCTTGAATATCCATTAAACTAAAACTACAATACCCAGAAACACCCAAGCTTCAAATTTGACAGTTTGGACATCAGAGAGCGAACCTGGTGCAAAGGAAATAAGCTTTGATGGGAATTTTGCCGATTTCCTCTTCTTCTTCTCGCTGGGAAATAAACCCATGATTTTGGTGGGAAAAATCAGGAGAGCCATGATCAGAATCGATGGTATAAATCGAAACTTGAGATGGGAGAGCAGAGAAAGGTCTTGTAAAGAGAAAACGAAGAGATGGGTTTGAAGAAGGGGATAGCAAAAGACGTTTGGGCACTTTGGGAGGAAGCGAATGGTGAAGGAATTTATAAGAAGGGAAGGGTGTTTTGGTTAAAAAGTGGTTGAAGAGAAGTGAAGCAGCTGCTCTCCATCTACCCATTTACCGGAAAAGAAAAAAGAATGCGTTTTTCTTTTTAGTTTGTCAAATTAAAGCACAAAATCTTTGCTCCATGATCGATTCATGGACTTTTTTTAGGTTTCTCGTAGGTTTTTTGCACGATTTCTCCCTTTTTCTTCCTCTCCAAGATTTTGGCAATTAAACCAATAGGCAGGTTATTTTGTAGAACTTTTCACACCGACGACTATTAACTTTGCACTTGGTGAAGCAAAATAAAATTGACAAAACAAATATTTAAAAATACAAAAATACAAGGGTTGTGAGCGAAAGGATAAAACGGTGTCGTTTAAGGCAACATTTCCCCCTGGGATTTGCCGATGCACTCTGTGCGGTGTCGTTCCTCAAGCCGCCCGAAATACAAGAGAATCTGAACTCCAAACCTCCTGTGAGCAAAAGAGCTACACTTTTCCGTGAGAGAGAAAGGGCAATTGGAGCTGACTCCAAAATGGCGGTGTCGGCGAATTTCAGGGTCGCTGCTACTCTCGCCTCTTATCATCATCAACACCCTCTTCGAACCTCTACCGCCTCTGCAAAGGTTCTTATCTTCAATCCCTCTCTTCTTACGTCTATGACGACTCTTTTGTTAACTTCTCTCTTCGTTGAATTTGAAAATTTTGTGTAATTTATCATATGTTATCTCAATTCCGTGTTTAGGTTGCCCAATGAAATTGGTTAAGTTGGGTAATTCTGTGTCTATTTGAGGTTAGAGTTGCAGATGATATTCTGATTCGTTTGAATTCCAAGTTTTTAGCTGAGCATCAGCTAATTGGGTTTTCCTAGTTCGCAGCAACATGGTAGCTCTGCAAACCCTTACCAGTGCTCAATGTTTTCAATTCCGGCAAAATTTCTTTTCTGGGTTTTGTCTAATGCCCTCTTGGATTTGTAAGCTTCAACTTTGACTGCAGTTTTCTTTTCCAAGTTTCTACTTTTTATTGAAAATTTGAACTTCGTCATAGTCAAATACATACATATTGTAGGTGGTCTTGTCTGTCTTTTTTCAATCAATGGTCCGGACTCAAGACCATGGATTAATCTTTGTTAGATTGCAAGTATAGTCAAATAAGCATGAATATGGCATCAATTGCAAGATAGCAGATAGCTTATCTTGAGAGTATTTCCTGTAGATTTTAGAAGCCATTTCTTGTTGATAAGGACTGGGATTCTTTTTCCCAATTTGATACTTGGCAGTAATTAGCAAGAACATTGACTGGCTGTCATCATCATTATCTTACTCCTCCCCCCCCCCCCCCCACCCCCAGAGAAATCAAAGACCTTGACACCCTCATCCCTTCTACTATAACAAGATGTTCTCAGTCATACTCATGCTATTATGATGGTGAAAATGGAAGATCCGAGGTTGATGAATTTGGTCTTCCAAGTAAGTTGATTCTGTGCTTATTAATCATAAGACTTTAACCTTCTACATCAGCTCATTAGGTAATGAAAATCATCAATGGTGATTAGGAACTAAAAGAAGATGCATTGCCGTTGGTTGTAGGTTATAGGTATGGTGATGGTGGCTGCTGCTGATGTCTGTATAGTCTTTCTAGTGTAAGTATGTAGTAAAATTACTAGTTTGTGGTACCACTGTGGGAAAAACCTCTCTGGCAGTGGTAGTGGTGATAACTGTCTTATTGATTGATTACGTTTGAAGTTATCATTTCAAACAAATAGCGGAGTTCTCTATCTCCTTGAGCCTAGATGATGGTGCCTTTTTTTGGCTGGTGATGCTGTAGTTTATTGGCCTTTGTTGTTAAGGGAACATTTTTGCGTTGCTATTGGGCATTGGCTTAAATTATTATTTGTCAGACAAATAATTCATTGTTTTGTACAAAGAATCATCCATTGCTAGTAGTTAATTGATGTACTAAATGTGTATAAACAGACTTGGTAGCCGTCAATGCCATAGAGAAGTGCCAAATGCTCCATTCTTTTCATTTTACCTTACGTTAGATGCAATGTAGGGCCTCTGATCTTCATTTTTTTGACTTTACCATTTTGTGTGTTAGAAGTAGAAGGATTTCACTAGCATGGAGAATTTAGAAGAAATGCAAATGCATGGTCATATTTTTATTTTATGCTTTATTATAGGTAGACTTCATGGGTTTCATGAACGGAGGATTAAGTTTTTCCAAAATTACACCGAAATGCAATGGAATGACAATAAATAGCCATGGTCAAACTAAAAGATTAGCTGGGATCATGGGAGATTATAAGTTATCTCCAAATGCTGTCAGCCAAGAGGTTGAGACCTTCCTCTTAAATGCCATAAACATGAGCTTCTTTGAGCGACTTAACTTGGCTTGGAAAATAGTTTTCCCATCTCCAGCATCCAGAAGGAGCTCTAATGCAAATATAGCGAAGCAGCGCTTGAAGATGATACTGTTCTCTGACCGTTGCGCTGTTAGTAATGAGGCAAAACAGAAGATAGTAAAAAACATTGTGCGTGCTCTGTCAGATTTTGTGGAGATAGAGTCAAAGGACAAGGTTCAGCTTAGTGTCTCAACTGATTCTGATCTGGGGACTATTTACTCTGTCACAGTGCCTGTTCGGCGTGTGAAGCCAGAATATCAAGATGTAGCTGAAGCTGGAACAATAACAAATATCGAGTACAAAGATACTGGAGAACGGTCTGGCTCTGTTGATGTCAGGTTCGATTTCTACGTTCCAGACGAATAAACACATAAGGAAAACTTTTGCATTTGTATGGTATCTGCATTTGGATCTTTAATTAGCTATGCAACTTTACAATTGTTTGTAAATATGAAATTTTCATCTTGAGGTGATTTTCTCACTTCAATCTGTGATTTGATTTGATGATTGGCTTCCTTGGGACTATAAGTGTAATCAAGTGGAGCCGATTTGAGCCGAGTTAGTATAATGAAAAATTCAAGATTAATTCAAAATATGTTATTGAAATTTGGATCAAATTTTATTGAGATTTAATTTTTAAATTTAAGCTCAAGAAAAAAATTGAATTACTTAAATTTATTTAATTAAGCTTATTTAATAACAAATTAATTTGATTTTTATGTTTGATTTTAAGTTTGATTATATATTTATATTTGAGTTTGAATTCAAATTAATATGTATAAGTAAAATAATAATTTTTAATTAAAATAATAAAAATATATTAAAATTTAAAATTTTAATTGAATTCATAAATTATTTGTGTTGAAAATTAAGATATTTGAATTCTAAATTAAATTATTTAAGTTTTATTCAAATTAAATTTAAATAATTTTGATATATTATTTGATCCTCCAACTAGCGGGACCTCTGATTGCTACTCTCTCTGCACAATCGTTGAACTTCATCGAAGTTAGAATTTTCATTTAATTAAATTTTGTTTGGATGCTGATTATTTATTATTATTTTTTAAAAATATAAGATAAATATTAAAAAGGGTTAATAAATCTGCGCCTTAATATAAAAAAGGTCGAAATAATCTATTAATTTCGGATTTGTTAGAAAGAAATAAAAATGTTATCTAGAGCTCAGCGTCCGTGGCACGCTAACGTCAAAGATATTTTCCAATCCTATCCCCACCTCACACCGCCCATTATCCAACGGCCCAAACTCTATCCACAGACTTGACCCAAATTTCCCACGTTCAAAAATAAATAAATAAATTTCCACCGATATATAAACCACCCAAAAGAATTTTGCCCGTTCTCTCTCCTTCTCTCTCTTTCCGCTCTCCCTTTTTTATTTCAATTTTACTCTCCAAAGCTTTGCGTGGCTCTTTGTCTCTCGCTATCCCTAAGCTTTTGAATTTTTTAGCGTCGTCGCCATGTCGGACGAGGAGCATCACTTCGAGTCGAAGGCCGACGCTGGAGCTTCGAAGACTTATCCTCAGCAAGCCGGAACCATCCGTAAGAACGGTTACATTGTCATCAAAGGCCGTCCTTGCAAGGTTAGGGTTTCCCTTTCTCTGATCTACTTCCATAATTTTACTTATCCTATGCCTCTATTGCTGTTATGATCTGTAAAATTCTTTTATTTTAGGTCCCCGGAATTAAACTAATATTTAATACTTGATCCTCGGATTTTGTTGAATTTCTTTTTTACCTAATGTTTTTACAGGTTGTGGAAGTTTCAACTTCCAAGACTGGGAAGCACGGTCACGCGAAATGTCACTTTGTTGGAATTGATATCTTCACTGCCAAAAAGCTCGAAGATATCGTTCCCTCCTCGCACAACTGTGATGTATGTCTCTCTTTCTGTCTAGTTTTATTTTTGTGATTACCATGAGACTAATGATGTTGTTGTTGCTGTTGCAGGTTCCTCATGTCAACCGTACTGAATACCAGCTGATTGATATCTCCGAGGATGGATTTGTAAGCTCATGCTTTCGTGCTGAATGGGTTTTGAATTTTTATGGTTTTAGATGATGTCGTGATTTTAAATACTTATTAATGTTTTAGGTGAGTCTGCTGACTGAGAATGGTAACACTAAGGATGATCTCAGGCTTCCAACTGATGATAATCTGCTTACGCAGGTTAGTATGCATGTTGAATGGTATCTGATTTCCAACTTTTTGCTGTCCTGAAATTATCAAATTATTCTAAATTGGTTTGGATTGTCAAAGCTGGTAGTTCTGGAAGATTGATATCTATGTCCATGTTTGATCATATTGTCTCTTCAATTGGTTTGAAGAAACTAATAGTATGTGATATTAAAGTGACGTGTTTTCTTTGGTCTATGCAGATCAAGGATGGATTTGCTGAGGGGAAAGATCTTGTTGTGACTGTCATGTCTGCAATGGGAGAGGAGCAGATCTGTGCTTTGAAGGACATTGGCCCCAAATAAATGCCCCAGCCCAGGCGTCCTCGAGAACGCTCATTTCCTAGAATCCTTGAAATTAAAATGAGACGGATAAATAGAAGTTTTTTTTCACTTTTTACTGAGGGGTTTCTATATGGGTTTGAAAAGTGGAGGTTATATTTAAGGAACATCATGACAAAGATATGGCCTCCAGTTATAAAGATGACTTTGCCATTATTAATTATAACCTTATATGAAGGATATTTTTGTTATCTTTGTTCAATTACTGTCTGATACCCGAATTGATTTTTGTTTCCTTGTTTCCATTGCATTGCCATTTATGGGTTGGGAAACTTCTAATTTGTTGTTATTCATAAAATAGCCTGTGCGATGCGTTGGATCCTACTAAGAATGCTTATGTAAATAGGATGATTGAGTTCAATTGGATGTAGAGTGAAATGCTTTGATGAAAGAGATCAAATTCAGCAATATAATAATAAATAAATGCTTTGAAGGGCATGAGAATTGTTCAATATCATAATGAGATCAAAGTCCTTTTCATTTTGTCTAAGCCAGCAAATGCAGGACAAAGAATGGTGAATCTGTTTTGCACCCGTTGAGACTAGTTCTGGTGGAAGGAAGTAGAAGTGTAATTGATATATTAATACTCATAAATTATTCGGATTTGATCGGAATAAAATTTAAATTTAGTTCAATTATTATGAGTAATTTGATTTATCAATAAAATTAAATTCGAGTATTTTTATATTCTATTCGAATAGTTTGCGAGTTTAATCGAATATTTATATTTTAATATATTTTAATTAATAAAAATATTTAAATTCAAGTTTTAACATAAATAATTGAATTATATAAATATAAAAAAAATTTATTTTTATATGTTAATCGAATTTAATTAAATAAATTTAAGTAGTTTGATTTTTTTTTAAATTAAATTAAAATTAAAAAATAAAATTTAATCAAGTTTTAAATTTTGAATAAATTTAAATTAATATTGTATCGAATTGAATTGGATCAATTGTACCTGAGGAAAGCTATGGCAACTTAGGATTGGAAGCTTTCGCTTGGAATTTTTGACTTGAACGACGTGAAAATGATGTTTCTAAGTTCCAAAGCTCACATTGGATTACATAATTCAGTCGGGAAACTAGTCAGACATTTCCGCCCAAAAAAATCAGGTGCATTGTATCAGTCATATGCTCCGATACTTACAAAAGCCGAAAAGAAAGCCCTCTTCAATTTGTATACGCTTGGCCGACCTATCTTGAGAACCGGATTAACTGGCCCGAGCCAATCGACTGGTATGTTACGTCTCAGTTCCCCACTCAAGGCTCTCAGTGAGTAGCTTGTGGCGGCCTGAAAGTTGGTTAAGACACTGATCCCAACGAACCAATGAATTCAATGGTTAAAACAATAGAGAAGCATTGAGAGGGGCTTGACCTTTACCTTCATTATGTGGAATTCAATTCCTAGTTTTACAGTCATTGCTGCTTCAGATATTTGCGTCACCATGCCCCAAGTTGTATCATGGGCTGCCCTACTGCGTTTATTTCAACTGTTTGACAAATCAAATACTACAATACGGTCTTGAGCCATAAAGCATAATTAGAAAGCTCTTCAAAGTCCAAACTAGTATTAACTGAACCTCAAATGTAGCTTGAAGCATTGGGTTCACAACAGACCACTTCCCATCTTCATCCACGGCTGATATTAGACAAGAATATTGTCATGATGCCCATCCATATTTGAAATTAAGCATCAGTTCTGCGGTTAATAGCAAGTGCTAACTAATTTCCCTCAAGGGAACTGCCCAAAAGATCAGTCTTATCCCACGTTATATTGGAAAACAAGCATGGACCAATATTTAACATGCATCATCATGCAGTTTCAATAAACCAATTTTAAGAGGGGAAAAAGGCATCAATGGAATTCACTCCAAGGTTGAAGGATACAAGAAAGACGACACATATTTTCAGGCCTCAGGTCTCTGCAAGATGACGAATGATAACATCTCCACTCAAAATGGTGCCATCTCTGATTAAACAAGTAATTATAAAGGTTGAATATGAGAATAAGAAAATAATATTTGCTTATCGTTTTTTTATCTTATTAATTTTTGCCATCCCTCCCAAGGAAATAATTCATAAATTAGCAATTTTTTTTTACAGGTTGAGATAAAAAAAAAAAAAGTTGTAAATGATGAAATTCATATCCAAACCTATTAAATGTTAGCTTTTAAAGATGACTGAATAAATCAACTGAATTCAATTCATTTCTCATTTTATCTCATGTTTAATTTTCATTAGCTAAATTTACTATAAGTTGAAAAAAGAAGTTACCTTCAACATTTTTAACTGCATTCCCACTCTATTATTTCACAACCAAAATTTAAAAAAAAAAATGATAAACTCCATCTCCACTTTGGCTTCTTTCTCCTCTTCTTTCACTTCTTTGCTTCCATCCCAATTCCCCCAAGCATAGTGGTACTTAAACAAATGCACAATTAAAATAACCTTAATGCAACTATACTCTCTGTCTTCATGCAAACTCAGTTTTTGTGATATGAAACCATGTTTGGTTCCTTTTTTGTTTAGCTCAAAGTAAGAATAAGTGTGCATGTGGCCCCTTTTGCCTTGTCATTTACTACAAAATACAACTTTCTTCCAATCCGAAGCTCCCTGAAAAGGTTCCCTCTTCTGGCAATTGTATGCAAAAAAGTGACGCCCTCTCGTAGTCGGCTAGTCCCTTGGAAAAAGAGAACAAACCAGAGTCTCATCCACCCACAAAATGGAAAACAAAAGAAAGGAAATGCAAATAGTAGCCAATTGTACTTCAAAAAGTTTCACCTCTTCTTAATTCTCAAAGACGTGTGATATGGGTGTGGCCCTACGTGCACTGCACAAACTCTTTTCCGAAGTTGTAGCAGTTGGCGTTGGGGGATGAATTCAATTTGCCACATCTCCTTTCCGACCCCTTTTCTTGTCCTTTTGCTTTGGCATTGGCTTGCCATGTGATTGCCTCTTGCACTTTGCTGGTGGGGTGTGCCAGATCTCTCTCGGGTCTCCTCTTGCACATAAAACCTTTACTGCCTTCACTTTTTTGGGGGTTAACTGCATGTTTTCTTGCTTTCCCAGTTTTACAATATTTTTCTTGGACCCCCCTCCAATGAAGTTATTACCAGACAGACTGTCATTAATAAATCTTTGCCCTTTCTCTCTAATTCTTTATTGAGGATTTTCTTTGCCTGGGAAATTTTCTGAAACTGATCAACAATAAGACTTCAATAGAAATTAGAAATCTTGCCAATGAAATTGATTAAGTTAATAATATTCGTTTGTAAGATTTAAATTCGATTTTTGTTATCAATAATCCTATTAAATTCAATATGAATTTTCTTTAAAATTTGTTACTTATCATGCAATTGAAATAAAAAAATCTCTTTTCTCTCTAAATTTTTATTTATAAAAAAATTAAAAATTTTAAATTTGAAACAAACTACATGCCTTTTTATTTTATTTATATAATTGGAGATCATCAAACAATAAAAGATAGCTCAAATCTATCACTTCCAATTCCAGAAATCAAATTTAAAATCATTAAACTAAAGTCTTAAATTATAATTTATTAAAAAAATTATAAACAAATAAATTAAACATAACTTCATATATGATCAAAACGAAATTTGAGATTTAAATATTTCATAATCTCTTTTTTTTTTTTTTTCATGAAAACAATATCTTATCAACAACCATAAAGCTAAAGAAATAATTTATTAGTATTTATTATTAGAAAGTGAAATTTGAGAAAACTTAAAATGGTTAGTTAACTTGGGTAGATGTTTTGTTTATTGCCATTAGTTTTTGCTTGCTTGACACGAAGTTAGACAAAAACAAATCAAATGAATTTGTTTATCTATTATAGTTGACAAAGCTGACTCAAACTTGTAGAACTGAATCTAATTGAGTTCAAACTCAACCGACTTCATTTGAACAAAAATGCTAATCAAATGATCTATTGTGACTTACATAATTTTTAATACAAAAGATCCATTGACACTATTACTAATCATGATAGGATAATAAATGGAAATACTTCAACGTGGAACAACTTGATTAATCCAAATCAGATAAGCTGACTGATCCAAAACAATTCGAATTTGATTTTGTTGCTTTTTTAACTACTAATCATGATTTTGTGAAAAATTATCCAATCATTGCCTCAACGACTCAAAAGCAAATGACATCAAATTTCGTAGAGCTTTTCCCATTGTCTAACAAAATGACTGTTCTACCCTTCACACGGCATAAAAAATAAAACTGTCCCCAAACGATTGTCAACTCAGTGGCGCAACTGTGATTTTAAGTGTCTTTGGGGATAAAAATGTAAACTTGGTGGACAAATCGGCCCAATCTGATGCTGCTAGTGGACATCCTTGAAAAAAAGACAGTCCACAGAGGAAAGAAAATGAAAACAAAAGGAAAAAAAAGTTTTTCCGTATCTGCGGCGTTGACTTTTGTCACTGAACTTGTTTGAGATCCGCAAACCAAAACCAAAAGGCAAAAGAGAAAATTAGGAATACAGAAACCAAACAAGGAAAAGACAGGTTTTTTTGTTTTATGTTTTGTTCTTTAGTTTGAGGATTTAATGGCGGAAAGGCAAGAGCAGAAACCATCATCTCAGCCGTCGAAAACGGTGGCGTCTCAACGGCCCACGATTACTCCACCACCACGGCCATTCATGGAGGCGCTATTCAGCAGTGGGCCAGGTTTGATGGGTTTTAGCCCAGGTCCCATGACGCTTGTTTCCAACTTCTTCTCCGACACCGACGAGTTTAAGTCCTTTTCTCAGCTACTTGCTGGTGCCATGGCCTCTCCGGCAGCTGCCCAAAGACCGAACTTTCCTCCTCCCACTACGACCGAAGAGCAGGGTGATGCCATCGGCACTGGTGGTGGAGGTGAAACCGGGTCGCTGTTCAAACAGAATAAACCTGCCAGTTTGGTGATAGGGCAACCGCCGCCGATGTTTACGGTGCCGAGAGGGTTGAGCCCAGTGAGCTTGTTGGAGTCTCCAGTGTTTAGTGTGTTTTCTCCTGGTGCCCAGGTAATTTTAAGTTTTATTTGTTAAAAAGGAAGAATATTTACGTGTTGATTTATTGTTAAATTTAATTCCTTTTTAATGAGTTCATGTTTGTTGGTTTGTTTTAGAGAAAGAACGACTGGCGTATGTAAATGGGAATAGCTTTTTATTATTGTTGTTGTTTTCATATGGCAATGTTGGGCTATAAAGAACAAAAGAGTTTTGAAATCAGGATCTGGAATCTATTTTGCTTGTTAACTCAACTGGATTCTTTTTTTCCTTCTTGCTATAAGAAAAAAAAAATTGATCAAGGTTAATATAAAAGGCAAAAGCAAACGGATATGCCAATATGCTAGTTTGATATGAATATGCCCAAAGTAAAATCTGCAATGGTTTTGAGGTTAAAGGTTTGATGGATTGCCATGTTACAAGTATAGGCTTAAAGTAGAAAGCTTTGAGCTTCATGCTCATTTTGTTGAATATATCTTGATTGAATTACGAATTATTGCATTTTGCCATGTTAGGAGTCTTTCTTAGTGGCAGCAATCAGCAAGTGTTGCCTGCTTGAAGTTGGAGAATTAGAAGCTTGTTTTCCAATAGAATCTTAAAAATTATGAGAGTGTAGCGATTCCAACCTTCACTAATGCCATATTATGGGTGATGAAATTTTACTTGCTTTAAACGTTCTCCTCATTGTTATTTAACATGTTGTTGTGAAGGAATATACTGTTATTGCATCCTTTATTTCCATTTGTTTGTTGTATATTACATAGTGCCCATGAAACTAGTAGAACGAGTACAAAAAAAAAAAAAAGAAGAAAAAAGCTTAGTGGTCATAGTGGTCATAGTCTATAAACCGCATCTCATTATCTGAATGTTTATCCATGTTAAGCATATAAAAATATACATGTTAATTTCTTTACAAGTATGGTCGGTGAATGGTTATTTTTCAATTTCAAGTAAGTGATTTTGTTTCCCTGTTGTCAATTGATTGATCTTGCCCTACCTACAGTGTGAGAATCTTTGGATAGCTTTTAGTTGTGTCAGTGGGAGTGCCTCTGATTCACTCCCTAGTTTCTAGTAGTGAAGACTGAAGAAGAACAAAAGCTAAGAGAAAATGTATTACTTTGCCCTTTTCTTCTCCTTTCATTTAGAATTCATGGCCCATAGTTCAGTCATTAACCAATTTCCCCTATGCATGAAATGTACAGGGACCTTTTGGAATGACGCACCAGCAGGCCCTAGCACAGGTCACCGCCCAGGCTGCTCAAGCTCATTCACATATGCAAACCCAGGCCGAATATTCATCAGCACCTGCTGCATCTTTGACACAGGTTTCATCTTTTACTGCCAGTACGAGAACAAACCAGCAGATGCCAACCTCATTGCAAAACTCTACTGTTACTGTGAAGGAACCATCAAATATATCTCAATCTAATCAGAGATCCCAATCTGATTCATTAATTGTTGATAAGCCTGCCAATGATGGCTACAACTGGAGAAAGTATGGGCAGAAACAGGTGAAAGGCAGTGAATTTCCTAGAAGTTATTATAAGTGCACGCATCCTGGTTGTCCTGTCAAGAAGAAGGTTGAGAGATCATTAGATGGCCAAGTCACTGAAATCATCTACAAAGGGCAGCACAACCATCAACCTCCTCAGCCAAAAAAGCGTGCAAAAGATAGTGGAAGCTTAAATGGGAATCCAAACAATCGAGGAAATTTTGAATCAGCTTCCCAACTTCAGAGTGCCAACTTGAACATATTGAAAGAAGGGACATCCGATTATGCAATGTCTATGAAGGACCAGGAATCTAGCCAAGCTACAGCTGAGCATCTTTCTGGGACCAGTAATAGTGAGGAAGCAGGTGACAATGAAACCGGTGTAGATGAAAAAGATGAAGATGAACCTGACCCCAAAAGACAGTAAGCAAAAATTTATGTATTCCTACTGTATGCTTCATTGAATCAGTAATGAACTGTCTACCCAACAAAATTTCTTTCCTTATATGCAGAAGTACAGAAATTAGGGTTTCAGAGCCAGCTTATTCTCATAGGACTGTCACAGAACCTAGAATTATCGTGCAGACAAGAAGCAAAGTTGATCTCTTGGATGATGGCTATAGGTGGCGCAAGTATGGACAGAAAGTTGTTAAAGGCAATCCTTTTCCAAGGTAAAGCCTCTGGTTGCAAACTAGAAATTACCATCTACTGCAATAAGGTGTATTCTTGGGCTATGTTAACTGGGTTGTTACGTAACTAATCTGGACCATTTATCTGTAACCCTGGTGTTAGCTCAGCAAAAAAATCCAGACAGAACAATCACAAATATTTTTGCCAAAACCATTTTTGTGTGTAACCTTTTTAGACTTTATGTCTCTGGTTCCAACCTTTTTCAATTGTAGACAACAGAGACACTCTATGTTGAATGTTTCTGCCAAAACCTCCTAACTGTTGAGTTGTTGGTCTGTTCTTTTGTCATGAATGTGTTTATAATTGTCTTCATTTACAATATATATCTGATTTCCATTGTAAAGATTTTTTTTTTTTTGTGATCCATTGATTGTTTTGCAGCATTCTTAATGCATCTTTTTGGTTCTACAGAAGCTACTATAAATGTACAACCCCAGGATGCAATGTCCGAAAGCATGTTGAGAGGGCTTCAACAGATCCCAAGGCTGTTATAACAACATACGGGGGAAAACATAATCATGACATACCAGCTGCCAAAACTAGCAGCCTAGTAATCAATCACAAGTAAGAACACAAAATGTAGTAACAGAAAAGCATGCTATAAGTAACAGAGCAGATTTTGGGAACAATAGTCAACAGCCTGTAGCACGTTTGTGCTTAAAAGTAGAACAGATAACATGATTTCCTTGACTTGAAACAATGGAAGGGGCAGGAGCACGAGTATAGCATAGAAGTTTTCCATGTATCAGGCAAAATCTGTTGTATTTGCCCAAGTTTGTATTCACACGCACAGCCAATGTTTTAAGGGAGGCCATCCACCCAAATGATATGATATTCAAAAGAAAAAGGGGGACATAAGAAAGAAGTCAACTTTGGAGCAAACTCACTTGGATTGAATTAGGAGGCAATATTGTTGTATGTAAACTAGTTTAGTGGACCATATTGTATTTTAATTCTGTTATTCCTTGCATTCTTTTGTACACGGAAATACAGCTACAATGTTGTTTCATATGATTGTTTGCTTATAATGTATGAATCTCAAGAATTTTAGGTTAGAACTCCTCTGTGCCAAAATTTTGGTAGGTTTTTCAGGCAGTTTTCTCGGTTGCAGCCTACTTTATGTTGTTTTCTGATGTTAATACTCGTTTGAGTGCAATATTTTGTTTTGTACCACTTTGATACAGTGTACATTTAGAAGTTATTTTTTATTATAAAAGAGGTCGCATAGAAGAAATGATCTTTAATCATGTATGTAAAAATGAAGAGCTAGTCAAAACTAGTTATCAAATTCAAAATTTGATAGAAAAATGAGTTAAATCTCACATTATCCCTCTTGAACAGAAAATTGTCCTCATTGAATGAACCACATTAGGCACCTTACACCAACTTGCATATAGAAAATAGAAATTACAGTGGCAGCAATAACAAAATAAATGAATGTAAAGAATACTGATACAGATGTATAATGGTTAGAATTTTTACCAACAATTTTCAATTTCGGATTCAAAAAATGAAATTTCACTTATCTTTCAACAAACAAACAAAATTCTTTCATTTTCACAAAACTGTGCCGGAATTGTTGGATCTAAACGCATCATCCTCCTGGTGTGTGTTCAAAGTAATCATCTTTGACAGTTACAATGGTAGGAATTTGGCCACGATTTACAAAATCAATCTTATTCAAGCGCAAACAGCACAAGGCTTGCTCTGGGAGTTCCTCTGGTTTTTGTGCCTGCCAGCATTATCAACCAGAACACAAGGTTGTTAGCAGCATATAAAATGGAGTGCTACAAATTGCTTCACCATTTCCCTTAATTAATTTCCTCATATTGAAATCCAGGCTGCTTAAAATTAGAGAAAGTGGCAAGAACTTACCTGTATAGTCAAACCCAGATTAACTATTCCATTCTTCATGCGGTCTAGAAATGATTCAAGTCCTTTCCTAGATATGTAGCTAAAGCGGTGTATATCCAAATCAATCTCAAAGTAATTAGGCCCCTGGATGATAAACACCAGGCATGTTAAGAAATGGTGGCATATTCAATTTTGAAACATTGTTCTTGGGTCATGGCTATGACTTGCTAAATTTGATCATGATATTAGTCAAAATGGGACAAGCAGTGTGAGTGTAAATCATTGGACTGCATGGAATTGATTCCTTCAGAACTTTCATACATTTCAGTATGTGAAACCAGCAGGGAAGTTAACTGTGTATGAATTACCTTATAGAAATTGTGTTGAGGGCGCGAAAGCACTGGCTTATCGTTATAAGCTTGAATAAGCTTCTTTTCAGTGGAACCTAACTGAAGGTCGTCCGGGTTAACTAAACCAGCCATAATTTTTAGCCTTTCTCTGAAAGGAACAGTGGACTCTTTCGCAAACCCTTTAACCTTTTCCATTTCATCCTCAATAAATTTCTGAACAGGAGTACAACCATGAGCATCAACTAAAATGTTTTTCAATGGTGGAAAGAAGATGAATAACCAAATATTACAACAGACAACTTGAGTAACGAGGGAATACCTTTATGCTGTCCTGGAAGTGAGGGGATATATCTTTGTCAAAAGTATCTGACACTTTGAAATATAAGACAAGGCTCAAGCCTTCCCCATTGGCATCACCAACAAACATGGTGGCAGGATAAGTAGGCACCTGCATAAAGAATATCAAACAACTTATAAAAGTCATAAAAAAAATGATGCAGTAACCAACATGGAAGCAAATTAAATTAATTAATTTTTCCACTAGTGATCCATAAAACAGATTATCAGAACAAACCCCATCCATCTGCTAATGATGAGTGGCTTCAAGCAATCAAAATCAAGAGAATCATTAAGGTGTGTAGTATATGCACAAAATGACAGAGAGAGAGAAAGGAGAACCTGTATATTAACAATCAGAAGGGCAGGTACTTTTTCGTGTGGTTTTACATGTGGAAGTTCAAGGTGCTGAGCAATGTGATTCACTTTCCGAGGGCAGACAAATAAATCAACCCCGATTGGCACATATGGGCTACAGTCTGGAGCAGGGAACTTCTGTTTATCTCTGCATGATAAGGTTCAACTTCAGTTGTAGATATGAACGATATGATATATTTTGGAATGTGGATAACAGCAACTCGACGGCTTGCCTAAAGTAATTCTTGCCACGGAGCTTAAAAAGTGAAGGAGAAATCTCTGACCAGCTTCCTGAAGTTGGTTTCTCTCCTGAGCAAGGAATTACAAGTCCTGCTCTCGGACGGTATAAGTACCTCTCAGCTGAACCTGTTATCAACTTGTCAGTTCTAGTCAAAACTAAAACATATGCAATTTTACACTCAATCACAAAGGGATAAAATAGAATTACACTGTGCCACTACATATAGTGATAGTAGGTTGATTTATTTCTATATCTCACCAATATCCTTTAGAAAAGGGAAATAAAAATGATAAACAACTCATCCCAGCTCAATTAGTAGAAGCAGCACTGCAGCATTAAGGCATGATAAAGGCAACTTTTCTTTTTTTAATTATGAAGGATATAGTAATGCTATAATTCACACAAATATCATGAATAATGGCTCACTATTTTTATCATAATGTTCACACAAGATCAATTACCGGGTTTACTTACAAAATTCTGTGATTTCATCACCTTCGAAAGATTTCCTCTTCATAGAAAACATGATAACTGTTGATTTCTTTCTGCTCTCTTGGGTTTTCTCTGCCAAATCAACTATGCCATCTTTCAGGCCCTTAAAGTTGTAACTTTCATAAAATCTTTCATACTTAGACCCATTATCTACAAAGCATGATGCACTTTCATACTGAAGTACTTGCGCATTTGAAATATTCCCAATTGCATTACCTACTGAAGAAAATGCATCTGGAGGCAACAGCAAACAAAAAAAAAAAAAAAAAAAGAACCATAAGCTTTTTCTGACCAATCAAATATAAAAAATCATCCTTGGAAGAAATGATCAAATGCAAGTGCATTACCTCCGTACAAACTACTGGAATCATCATCTGACTCAGACTCCATAATGCTAACAGAATCAAACCATACTTCCTCTTGGCATCTTCCTGCAAAGTAATTTCATTTCGACAGTTACCAATTGTTCGAAAAGACAAACGCTTCAACCCCAAGAACAAATAGCTAGAAAGATGGATAGAAGAGACCATTGGCATCAATTTGACTGTGGTTCCATTGTAGCTGGGTTAGATGAAATGTCATATTAGACATCTCAGAGCGCTTGCAGGTGGTTGAAGCACCCTTCTCAAAGTCAAGATGAACAAATTCACTAACAGCAAAATCTGTAATATGACTCCCAGCATCACTCATCCTTTTCATACATACATCAGAAATGGAAGTGGCAATCTTTCCATGGTGCTTGCGAAATCTGCCAAAGTGTCTTTTATGTGGCTTAGATTGTGCCTTTTCACTATATACTGAGACACAGCCACCCATTATGTGATAATCTTTTATAAAGACAGCTAGTAGTGAAGGAGCAGACACAAAGCAGATCAGCTCCAAGGAAACGACTGACCTGTCAATTAATCCAAGAAAGAAAAAAAATTAAAACAAATATAAAAAAGGCATATATCCGGTACATTCCAAACATGAGGACCTTAATGTCACCATAAGAAGGCAAACCATCAATTAAACATGCATGAATGCATCATAAAACTTTTTCATTTTAATGTCTTTCTATGAATTTCTGAGAAGATGAAAAAGCTTGCCTTAAAGCATTGTTTTTATATAATAGTAGCAATCAATAAGTGAAGGAGGCAGCAGTTCACCATAAGAAATCCCTTACCAGTAAGGGGTTAGAATGTTTTAGAGATTTACCTTTAGACCAAAAAGGAGACATCAATCAATAGTAACCAAAATGAATCAGTAATGTAAATGAGTTACAATTTCGTATTTCACATGACATGTATATACGAATTACCAAATACCGAGACTAGTTGTAAATCACTAATCTATTTATAACAATATATACTAAGAATTTGCTCCTTTCTGAGTCAAGAACATACCTTCAACTTAAGTCATTCCAAAGGAGCGGTGCTCCTTTGGTGCTTCGTTATCCAATCAAAATCTTAATCTTATCAGGGGAATGATATTTCATTGAAGTGCTTGAGATTGACAAAACTAACACTGTCCTACCTGAATATCAATAATAAACGTTAAAATACTACTAAAAAAACCGCAGGATTTTATCGTTACTACATCGAAAATATCAATACTAGTAAAAAAAACCAACACTCTTGCAAAACATCCTCAATTCAATGCCTAAAAAACAACTAAGAACACATGATTTTGTCTAAAAAGAGATTAAAATTGAATACAGAGTACCTTGAAAAATAAAAATTAGTAACAAAGAAATGCAAGAGCCCACCCCCACCACATAATTAGATCATTGAATACAAAGAGATCCATAGAATAATAAAATGATCAATTCAAAGCATTATCATTAAATTGAAAGAAAATAATAAATATATATTAGTAAGAAATGTTAAATACAAGATTTAATTTTGATAAAGAAAAATGGCCAAAGATATTATGAAACAGGAAATGAAAACGATCATAAATATTCCAAAACACAAAATACTGATAAAAAGATGAAAATTTAATCGAAAAACAAGAAATGAAAACGATAAGCTTGAAGCATGCAATATTAATGATTGAAAAAAAAAAAAACAAAAGGAGAAATCATGATGCCATAATGAAGTTTGAATAAAAAAAAAAACACACAAGTCGAGAGATGAACCTCGAGAGAGAGAAAGGTTAAAAACCCGGCATGAACGAGGGATAGCTTTTCCTTCGCTTCGGAACTTTTAATGCCTTTCTCCCTCTCTGTTTCTCCGTCTCTGTCTCTGTTTTTAGTTTCTGCCTAAGAACGAAACAGAGGGAAAAAATAACGGAGAAGAAGACGAGAGAAGACAGAGTCTCCGTTATAAGCGGATCATTAGTTTGCAAAAGTCTCCTTTTAAATCTCCTTCTCTCTCGCCCTTTCTGTTTTCTCCTCCTTATTTTCGTTCAGTTACTCTTTTTTTTTTTTTAACTATTTTTATTTTTAATTTGAATTTTTTTTGTTTTGTCGTCCGAGATTTCGCGGGAGTTACTGCTTTTGTCTGCATGCCACGTGTCAATTTATAAGGTTTGTTAAGCAAAGGAAGGAACAATTACAATCTTTTTCTTGTATTTACTGCTTCATTAACTACTTGTGTCATATTAATTAATTAGTTTTTTTTCCCCCGTGTCACGGAGTGTTTTTATATTTTTTATGATTTAAACTTTTAATTTATATTAATTCTTATATTATATATAAATAAATATATATATTTATAATCATTTATAATTTGTAATTTAAAATTATAAAAACTTGTTATATATAAATTATTATAAAAGAATCTAAATAAACATTATAAAAGCTTTAAATTATGAAAAAAAATTACATACAAATTTCAATGAAAAAATTAATCTCTCGTTCATAATTATATATATTTTAAGAGTATATATTATTTTAATATAAAAACTAAGATTCACATATGTGATATATTATTAAAGACTTTTTCATATTTAATTTTAAAATTTTATCATGTTAAATTTTTATGATAAAAATTTTTATTGCCCTATCTTTTATAAAAAAGAAAATATTGATTATGAGAAGAAATTATAAATTTATATTTGATAATTATCTAATTTTAAAAAATTTTAAAGTATGTAATTATTTTTAGAATAAAATATGTAATTATTTTTTAAATTTATAATTTTATTTTAATTTTTCAAATTTTATCTATTTAATTTATTTAAAAAAATATTACATATGTTTAAATTATCTCTATCCCACGTTGAATAGAAAAAATCAATGATTAAATTAAATAAAAATTAAGAAATTAATATAAAGTTAAACAAAATTGAATATAAAATTATACATAATGTGTATATTCCAAATTTAACAATTCAAATAAAAAAAAATCTACCAGATAACTATTAAACCAAATAGTTCGGTCCATGAAACCTATTTGGATGATTAAAATAAAAAAAAAAAATAGTCTTAAAGGAAATGTCACAAACATTAATTATAAGGAAAAGGTTCGTTTTCAGCAGACCGCAATGGCATTAAATATTAGCTATAAAATTATTGGGAAGCTACTAAGTTTAACTAAACAAAGGTTATACATGAATATGCAGTTTATTGCATTCCTAATGGCTTAACTCTTAAGTATTCATAAATATGATTCTATCATATTTAATCAAACCCCAAGACTCCAGCCAAATCTTTTCTCCTATTGAATATCACCAAATAGGTTCGCTGGTAAACATGTAATTCATGTAAAAATTTAATAATTATTAATGACGATTTTATGATTTTTAAGATACGTTATTTGATTAAAATTATGAATTTATAGATTTAATTTTATGATCTGATTATATCATATCAAAAAGTCAATAATAATTTTTACAAAATCGAATCTGTAAAATTATAACTCTATTTGATTAGCTAAAATTATTGGATTTTAGGGTAAGCAAAAACAAGAATGAAGGCTTTATGTTGATGGTATGTTGTAATATGAGATTGGGGGCATCCAAACAAAACATTCCAATCAAATTGATGTTTATTTTATGATTAAGTTGAAGAAATAAAAGCACAAAATGTATCCATCATGGCAGAGTGGCAAAAGGAGGATTATGTTTTGATTTCCTTGTGCGCGTTCGTGTGCAGCTGCACCATGAAAACGACTCCTTCCAACATGAACCAAAGCCTGAAAATGAAACAATCGGAAACGCCGATCAATTTCCGGTTGTTTAATATGAGGCCCATTTGCTTATAATGATGTGATATTTATAACAAACTACGATCATAATTTATGATTCGTTTGAATGATCGGTTGAAAAATATTTTTATTATATTATTATATTATTTTGTGATTAAATTTTTAACCTAAATAAATAAATAAAAGACATGATAATATGAAATAAGTTTATAATATCTCTATTGTTTTAAATATAAAAAAGATAAATATTAAACTAAAAGCCAATATTTTCCAAAAATGAAAATGTTATGCTTTGCCATTTAAAAAAAAAAACTTTAAATTTTTCCAAAAGTTTAACACTTAATTTATGCGCAAATGAAAAGCATGATTAATTGTTATATACAATAATATGATTTTTTTTTTCCTTGTTTTTTTTGGGCTTGAAGACAATACTATGATTGTTCTCTCTATTTGTCTCCTCTTTTTACAAAGCTTGTGATTACACAAATAATAATTAAAATTAGAACATCTTTAGTAATACAAAAGCAAAGGGTCTAAAGTAGGGGCATTTGATGGATGCCCACGCAACCATATTTGAGTACAATTATTAGTTGATTTTTGTCTCTGATTTTGTCTTTGATTAAGTGCCATAATCATTGAGAACCAAAAAGAATGAAAAAAACAAAAGAAAAAAAATTTAATAACCATTCTTAGAGTTTCAAGGTGAACTGGTTGAACGAGCATGGTGAAGTGGTTGAGCCGTAAATGGGTTTCACTTCAAGTCAAAGCCTGTTCCCATCTCACCAACCTGCTGAAGAAAGAATCAAAATGGAAGAAACTGAACTCAACTTTCTTTTTCTCAAGAAAAAAAGATTAGGGTTTTGGGAAATACATGGGCTGCTAACCACTTGACTCATTCAAACCCTCTCTATTTCTACTATAGTTCGAAGAAGTCAAACCAATATATGATATGTTCGAGCGTATGATTCAATAATTGATAAATTTTTTTAACTTAAAAATTAAAATCAGATCCTTATCTTTTTAAATATCAAAAGAATTTTTAAGTATTTTGTGTAAATGTAAATGATTTTAGTGATATGTAGACACATATTTTAAATATCATTTTGCATGTGTGAATTTGAACAGATTTTTTAACTTTTGTTTGGGTAGACCAAATCCAATGACCTGATCATCAAAATATATTTTAAGGTTGGGCAAAAGTGTTAGTGGAGGGTCTTCTCAAACCCCACTATTAATAATGAGTCTACCAGGATTATATACAGGAATCAGTAATCACAAAGAAAATTAATAATTATCAAATAAAACACACACACTGAAACTCACCTACTCAATTATTTTGTCTTGAAACTTAGCTACAACAGCACTGAAACTCTTTCCACTTTGTTTCTGCCTGTTCAAACCCATACCAAATTTTGATAAAAATAATAAGAAAAGGGAGAAAAAGGCTAAAAATGCCTGATCAGAAAGTTCCTGAGCCTGAGGGCTGCATTTGAACTTCCAAGAGTTTAATACTGATATTCTCCAGCCCCTGGACATGGTTTGCAATTTTTTTTTCTTTTCTTGAACTAAGAAATGTGTACATTTAACCTGCTAACCTGGCAAAAGTTTCAAGATCCGAGATTTGAGAACTTTGTCTTTTCATCCACGGGAAAAAGTTTTGACCAAAAAGGTGGCAAAGCATTAAATTTCTAAGGTATCGAATTTGAAATTCATGGCTAAATTCCTAACTGTGGGTTGCACATGGTCAAAATTTCTTTTCAACTTATTGAGATCCGCACTACGAATTTGAATACTTCCTCCCAGGAATTCAATCTCATATCGTTTAGGATTACAAGATTGTCTCCTTCAAGCTGAGTTAAATTCATTGAACAAAACTATCAGGAAACAAGTAGCAGAAAAAATAATTGTTATACAAAGAACCAAAAGATTCTAAAACAGCTAGAGCATAAGTTTGTTAATCACATTAATTACACTATAAATCACATTCTCCTTACAATTATTTATTGTTACAAAAGAGTTTACAACATGAAAGAAATAAAAGATGTAAGTATTAAAATTTGAACATTTTTCATTTAAAACATTCTAATTGTCCTAAAATATTTGAACGAATTTGTTTATCATTGGTTATTCTCTAAAATATTTTAAGAACCCTGCTATCATCACAACATGTCATGTTCAACCTTTCTTATCTTATACATCTGGGTAGGGTTCTATATATTTAAGTTGAAAATATATTATGATGATTGTATTCTCATTCCATATCTGCCCTGCTTGCTGGATTTTAGCCTATGATGGGCCTTACCATTTAAGGAGGGTTATGCCATTTATGTCTTGATATCTTATCATGCCATCTCCCATCTTCACAAGAATCAAAACATATGTTAAACCCATGCCTGGGTAAGTTATGTGAACTTAGTTTAATCTCAACTAATAACCCAAATTCAATATTTATAAAATGACATTTGTAATTATTTAATTTCTACTATTTTATATAATATATATGTGAAAGTAACGCATGAATAACTCTTTGAAACAGTCTTTTTTAATATTAATTTTGTATCTCAATAAATATTTATATATATATATATAAACCAACTAGTACAAAACTAAGTATGAAAGTGGAATTTTAAAATTTTCTTATAAATGTATTAATACATGGTTGAAATTTTGCAAATACTTGACCAATTTATAGGTAGACATGATAATTTTAAATATGATGCAGTATTACGACATAAAACGATATGAATAAAAAAATAAAAATAATATGATTTAAAATTTTTTTAAAAATTATAAATAAGTTTAATAGAATAAAAATATATATTTTATATTTTCGTATCAATATGAATTATAACATATAATTTTTATATAAAAAATATATATATATACATAAATTTTTAATATTTTATATAATATAAAAATATACACGCATCAGCCTTTGGGCCATATGTCTGATAGACGGTTTAGGCTTGTCCCATGCTTGGGCCTATGAGCCACTCAGTCCTGGATTTGGATACGAACATCAGCCTACAATAAATTTTTTTTTTAAATTATATTTTCCTGTACTTTGAACCAAATTTCTGACAGCAACTCTTCTATCTAATCGATCATATTTACAGTTGTTGTGATAAGAAAAATAATTTTTCCGATCCAATCCAAAGAGACGGCCATGGGAATGTGTACATTGATGTAATTAAATGCTTCTCACATGTTTGTCCAAAATTCAATAATGAAAAGACTCCCAC